ATCCCTTAAAAAACAATATTAAGACTTTCTGCCAATTTTCTCATATTTGTATATTATAATGGTTTTTTTTCAAGGTTTTGGTCCATGCCTGGCTTTGTGCTCAGGTATCACTACTGGCGGGACTCAGGGGATGATACAGAATACCAGGGATAGTTGCATGCAAGATAGCTGATGCAGTACCTGATGTACTATCTCTCAGTCCCGGTTTCCATCTGTGATGATAAAAAACTAATCTTCCATTCCCATTTGGAATTCTGGTATTTATATTTCTCATTTGTATATTCACTTGTATCTTTAGTTAATGTTGAGTACTGTATTTGTTGTGTTTTAGTGTGTTATGTGTTCTGTATTTTAGAAGGTGGAACTGGGTATTTCCTTGGAGAACACAAAGGACTTGATGGTATCTACGCTGCAATTTACTCAGCAACTAGACATTTTGCATAAAGAAGTCTCTCCAATATCTAGAACCTCCTTTCAGTGTGAGATTTCACCATTTAGGTAAATGGTCGCTGGCATGATGGGGACCAGAGATTGTGGTAGTAGACTTAGATGTAATTGGTGGACTTCTAGGAAGGTGATTTGTTTTTCCTCGAAAGGGGGTAAATCAAATAAGTTTGGAAAACTGAGCATCATATACATTGAAGTCTAATTAAACATTCTGGATGTTCTTTTGTTACTAATGTAAATATATCCCCAAACAATAAATATGGCATTTATATGCAGATTGTTAAACTTCAAATGAAAGATAGCAAATTGTTTCAATTTCACTTCTAGTGATTATACATTTATATATATTTATGTTTTTTTGCTTTTTTTTACTTGTAAGTGGGAACCATATAATGTTTCATTTGCAGATCAAACTCAGGTCTCCTGCATGCAAAGCACGTACTCAGACCATTGAATTCTCTTTGGTCCAGAACTAGATTTTTAATGGATGTTTTCTGCTGTTCTTTTTTTTTTTTTTTGAAAAAAAAAAAAACATCTTACACCCAATGGTATTCAGTGGTTATTTCTGGTTCTTTGTTTAGAATGGTTGCTCCCAGCAGTGCTCAGAGAACCACATACGGATGGAGATGAACCATTGTTGGGGTCTCAGTAGCTGGCCTGAGATTTTGACTAAATCCCCTGCCCCTGAACGAAAGAGCTGGCCCTGTTTACAGGGGCCTAGGGACTTTCTCCAGCACTCCACACATGGAAGCACTCTGGTTGAGGATGAGGGATTGCTGATTGACTACCAGCTTTCCCCCCTCCATGTGGTTCTTTCTCGGTGGCGGTGGGAGTCCTTGGGTTCCCCGAGAGCCAGGGAACAGGTTTCTCCCCTTCCCACTCCCTCTCCTATAGGGAGTAAGTCTGGCAACCAGGGGGATCATACTCCAGTGTGCCAGGGTCAACTGGCCAGGACCCCGACAAACCAGGATCATCTGCATACAAGCCAAGTGCCTTAGCTTCTGTACAATATGAAACCCTTCATAAGTGTTCTAATCTTTAAATCACTTTTGATTTTTTCCTATTACATGAGTTGGAATTTTCTAATCCGTAGTCAGATGCATTATCCAAAGCTTGGCAAGCTACCCGTGATATATTCAATATGCCAAAAACAGTAACAAGAAGTCTCACAATGGAGACATACTGGTGCCTGCTGGAGAAAATTAGTGAACAATGGGAGGACAGTGACAGTGACACTGACACAAGTTGGAAGTATTGGGGTATTGGTTATGCTTATCAGCTGCAATAGGTATTTTCAAATTACTGTTTAATGTTTTAATCAATTTATAGTGGACAAACAATATACAAGAATTTGAATTAATTCATTTATCAGTTATGTTATTTTAAACATATCGAGTGGTATCAATGGATACTTCACTTTAGGTTACATGTTTGTAAATCTTTGTTTTGAAAGTCACACTCAGAAGTACTCAGTACTTACTCCTGACTGTACTCAGGGATCACACCTGGCAGAACTCAGGGGGACCACATAAATTGGAATCAGGGCAATTTCAGAAGCAAGAAAGTTAAGTGCCTTTAATCCCTGTACTACCTCTAGAGCTCCAGCCTGTTTCTGAAGAATCCTTTTTTGTTTTGTTTTGGGTTTGGGGCCACACCGGTAATGCTCAGAGGTTACACCTGGCTTTGCACTCATGAATTACTCCTGGTGATGCTTGGGAGACCATATAGGATTGGTCAGGGTTGGTTGGGAGTGGGGTGGAATCAAATCTGGATTGACTGGATACAAGCCCACCATCCTACCCACTATACTATCACTCCAGTCCTGTTTCTGAATCTTCAGTAAATTTTTAATACACTTTTCAAGATCTTCCCCCCTCTGAGCTTTTTGTGTCCATTTGCCAATTGTAAAATTACTTTGTTAATAATTTGTTAATTGTAAGAATGCAACTCTGCTACTAACATGTCTCCCCCACCCCCACCCCACAAACACATGCACAAATAAGACAGTTTTCCTTTTATTATGGTCCAGTATGCCATTTTTTTTCATGTTTGACGCTCCATTTATGAATTGTTCCTTGTCAGTGCCTCCTCAATCCAGATTTGTCTGCATCTTGACCTGAGATGTCTACTCTGGGTTTTTATTTTCCCCTAAAGAAATCTGTGCTCTTTCTTGAATACATATTGCTTTCTCTCCTCCTTTCATTTCTCTAAAATTTTTTTTCTCAAACTATTTTAATTCACTAGAAAAAAAGTTCCTTGCCTACAATATTAACATTTAACAATAATTCATGTTATTAAGCTATCAATATTAATTGTTCATAACACTAATGAAATTTTTTGTCTGTAGTTTTGTAATAATTACTCAGGACAACACATTGAGTGGTTTATAATCTAGTAACTATTTAATTGTCATATAATAATCATTTATCATATAGGAACACAGGCTTCTGCAACAACAAAAAAGAAAAAATCAACAAAAACATTTTGTCTGTTCTTGCACCTTGCATTTCAAGTAAGTCTTAAAAATTTCTGAGGCTTCATGAAAATGTCCATTTGGATTATAGTTACTTCCAATTCATGTTATTTGGAAAGATGATACTGAGATTCCTACGTATGAACATTACATTTATTTAGGTTAATATATTCTATGATTTTCTTCAAAATCTTGTACCTATTAGTAATATGTTCAGTTCTATAAAATTATCAATTTAGTTTTCATCAAAGAATTTTTTTCTTCCATACCTTTCAAAGGGAATGTTTCAAAATATTATTAATCTTTGCTACTGTGAATTTTTGACACAAATCATTTGTTAAAGTATAAAGTTATTTAGATTTTGCTTAATATTTCTGGAATTAATAATTGACACTGAGCTCTTCAATCTATTTGTTAATAAATTAAAAATGCCTTGACTTACTTTTGATGAGGAATATTTAAAAATTTTAATTGTATATTGCCTTAAGCTTTTCATTAGTATCCCAGTTTTATACTCCTGTAACCATGACCTTTATTTCCAAATGGATTATCCACTTATAAGATTACAAAGTAAATTGCTTAGCAAAGCCACCTCTATGACTTTGCACATACTTGTTTTGGAAGAAAATGCATTTTCTCAAAAAAGGAACTTAGTGTTCTCTTTGGTGACTCAACTAGGCCCAAGTAATATTAAGGGGGATAAGCTGACAACTAAGGATTTATAGGCTTATCTAGAATATCTTTTTCAAAAAGTAATTCATTTGTAGCAATTATTTTCCTACAAGCAACATGGGAACAATTTGGAATATATGAGTATATCCTACTTATAACCTCATTAAACTTTCATATACTCAGTTAAAACTATTGCTTAGAAACAGCAATTCGCTAACCATGGTTACTTTTATTAGACTAATGTAAAAAAGATGCTTAATAAAGTATGCAGTGCATTTTCATATTAAATTATTTGCATTTTATTAGTGTGGAACACTTTAAACACAGTGTTTCTCAATCAGGGGCTATGTGACACCTGGATATTCCAAGGGAAACTAGATGAAAATCTCACAAATCGGGGACCACTGCATGAGACTAGGGTGCCAATCTATAACAGGGAGTCTACAGGGAAGAAACAGTCATAAGGGGGTCAGTCAGTGTTGCTAAATAAAACTAATTATTTTCAACCCTACAGAAAACAATTATTTTGTGCAAACAATACTGTTTAGAATCTGTAACTACTTGAACATACAATTTTCTGTCTTTGTCAGCATCAAGTAGCCATTTATTAGATTCTAGAATTTATGCTACATGCTGTAAAATGCAGTAACTAGGGAGTTAGTTGTAGGCAGTTAAAGGTATAAAATGCTTCCCCCCCTTAGTTTTCTCAGAAATTTGGGTGAATACTGAATACATTAACGCAAAGCTAAACATACAAAACAAGAAACAAAACCATTTGTTGTAGATGTCCACAAGGAGAGGTACTTGACTGAGCTTTTCTATATTTTTTATTTATACAAATATTTCCAATTTGGGATTATTTATAGTAAATGAGTTTAATTAGTGCTAAGGGACAGTGTAATTTCTAAAGAAAGGCTCAAACTCAGAATTTCAAACTGGGATATTCAAGAAATCTTGTAAGTACTCTAAAAGACAAAATGAAAGAGTTAGTGAATGAGTAGACATAAAATAAAAGATATCAGAAAAGAAATGACCTTTAGAAAAGCCTCATTATTTTTTACTGTTTCTTTTGATTTCTTAGAATAAAAAATATTAGAGTTTGGAATAGTAAACATATACAGTTATTTTCAGTCCAAACTAAACCATTTCTCACACAGATTATCAGTGTAGGCCTAGAGTGCATTTATTACTTTCTTAACTCAATGGAAAAGGGAACGAAGTATTAATCTTTTTTCACTACTCGTTAAAGAAAGCTAAATTTACAAGACAAGAAATAAGACCTGGGCAGAATTCCTCTATTCTAAAAACTCAATTGAGAAAGTATCTAGGATTTCATACCAATCCAAGATTAATTTTACAATACCTGAAAAAAAGCACACAATTTTAAAAGATGAACAGAGTCCACATATAGTGATTTTTTAAAATTTTATTAGTTTACCAATGGGGAGATGCACTTTATTTACACCAGCAGCCATTGGGGCAAGGGGAATACATAGTTAGTTAGCAATCTGTATTAGATGAACAACTTATGCAAAAATAAATCTCCAAAACACGGATAGTGGTGAGTTTTACTATACTCCCCAAAGATCCCAGCATGCGATAATGCCAGGCAATAGCCCCTGGGCATGCGGTGGTGGGAAATAATGCAGGGAGGGAAAAGCCACAAAGCACAAAAATTATAAAGAATCCCACTTCCCCCATATACACACACACACACACACACACACACACATACGAACACACGCATATGAACACGCACACACATGCGTGCTCTCACACGCACACACTCGTGCGCACGCACGCACACACACACACTCAGATACATAATTACAGGGTTAGCAATACATTTAATAGAGGAGGGAAGGATAGCAATTCTGCTGTTGAGAGAAGACAGGGAAAGGGAGAGTTCCAAACCATGGCTAAATATATGGTAAGGAGCATTCTCTCCCCCAAAGACAAACGAATTAGTCTTGCACTTAGGCCTAGCTCTCCTCATACCCATCCAGGGCAGGGGACTATAGCCCTAATGATGAGGAGTTACCAGTGATAGCTCACAAAAACCATGAGGGAAGGCCATGTAAATCAACCATTACTCAAAACTACTTCCTCCTTTACCTAAAAGCCTAGAAAGGAAATAGTAATGCCACAATCTGTACAACCTCTCTGAAAAGCAGGGCATTATCTTACCTTAGTCTACTTCCCAGACATTATTTGGAAATAGGCCTATAAACTTCTTTCCCTCCACATCCCCTAACATGGAGATGTCTGCAAAATATCAAAGGCAGAGAACCAAATATTTTAGCTTTTACCCAAGTTTGACATTTTAAAAAAGTTTTTATAATCCTTGAATATGCATATGCAATCAGGCCCCAACCCTTAGAAGAAAAAACCTAGGGGCAAAATGCAATAATCATGTTGAGACATTTTCACTATGGTTTCTTTAACCCTCCAGGGGTCTGTAACCCACATGGGACAATATAATCCAAATAGCTCCTTCTGAGACAAGGATGCATTCAGAGCAAGGATTAGAGAAACTGGATCAAGACCATCTCCATCCCTTGTGTTGGCCAGCCTTATCTGATCTGCTTAGGCCCTGAGGGGCAATATCTAAGAGGAAGTGGGGAGATAAAACTCCTGATGATGTAAGAAACAGCAGGAAGGCATACTAGCCATTAAGTCTAATGGGAGAGATGTTTCAGCATTTTCCAATAAAAAGAAAAAAATTTTTTTTTCAATCTTAATCCCAATATAGGGAGTCATTAGTGTCTTCCGAATCTCCTACAAAATCCATGAAAAAAACACATTTTAAAATAAGCTGAGAAGAAACTAGCCGGGTTTCAGAAGCAGCAGCATCGAGAGATGAACTGATTCTGGTCAACATAAACGAGAGGTGGCAGGCAGCACCTAGGGTCCTAAGTGGAGTAGGGCAGGAGGAACATGGAGCCAAGCCAGAGATGTGAGGCTGGACCCCTGATGGGGCACAAAAATGAGGTAAGAAAACATTTCAAATAAAGCAGCACCATTCCCGCTCAACTTGGGGCTCCCACCCATCTACACTGTATTACTGACCCTCTATCAGAAAATAGAGTGGTTTTTGATATGCACCTCACAATTTCACATCCTTCATCATCCCACTCACTGAAGCCAAGGGAGTTCTAGAGGTCATCCCGACTTCAAACAAGGGATCAGCTACCGTAATTCAAGAAGGTCCAAAAAGAGCCAAGTGAAAAGAACAACTTTTGTGAGGGGCAGAGGTGGTGACATTAAAGAAGTTCACCAAAGCAGGATTTTGTGACTCTCCCCCATCCCACCAAGGAACAGAACATTCAACAGGACAGGACCGCATTACAGGAGTAAGGACCCCATCCTGCTCCTTAGATAACCTAGCACTAACCCATTCACATTTTTGACAGCAGCTGGACAAGTTTATCTCTAGGCTCAGTTTTCAACCCACAACCTCCAATAGCCCATGAAGCTCTTCGGTCCTGTCCTGTCCCTTGGGTGGGAAGCAGGCAGTGACCTAGCATGGCCATGTAGGAAAATGACTGCTTCACCAAACTGTTATACACAAAAGCACATATCCATAGAGTAAATCTTGCAGTTTCAGAGATCGTGCATCGCTGCAGAGGCCCTTGCTATCTCTCCCAGATAGTGACTAAATCTTCAGCCTGTCTGGATTAACCAAGTTGTCCACTTGTCAATCCTAGGTGGCAAAGTGGGGAACAAGAAAAAGGGCTGAATTCAGCAAAAGGCAAGCCCTTGTCCCCAAGTCCATTAAAGTCACTGCAAATGCTGGATCTTTAAGAAGATAGAAGCTTTGAACTTTTCTTCTTATTGGGAGTCAAGCCCACAAAGCTTCCCCTAGCAGATTCGTCCAATAACTTTTTTTTTCTTGAGTTTCCCACACTGTAATCTTTATTAGCCAGTTCACACACCTAATCATATTTGTCTCGAATAAGCCCACGGGAGAGGCTAAGATTAGAGGAGTAGTTCCACTGAGGCCCAGTGTTTAAGGCCTGTGACCATCAGGGATGTTCATTCAAACTGTTCGTTAACCGGAAAAGCAGAAAGAAAGATCGAGGGAACTGTTTGACACGCTGGGCACACAGCTGCTCACCTGTGCACATCCAGCTATGTCTAGAGACCAGTTCACATTGCACAGTGCGCCCACGAGGGAGCATCGCTTCCTACCCAGGTTTTCCAAAGTTGAACCGAGGCAACACATTTTTGTCAAAAAATAAAAATCCAGATTCCTAAAACTTCTACATTGGTTTTCCTTTTAAGGATACAATTTTCAATGGGAACTGGGGCTTCTGTCTGGTTGTTGTTGTTGTTGTTGTTGTTCTCCTTAGCTACCTCACTTCTCCAAACCACAGGACCGATCTCTGTCACTGTCCTGGTTACCCCCCTCAGCCTCTCTCCGGTTGCAGCTACTGGAACTCTGGAGGAGAGCGTTGCAGCGGCTGGTTCGGCCCGTTCCCCGACTCTCCGGGCAGGGAGCAGCGCGGGAGGCGGCACGCTCCTTTCTCTTCCACCGGCGGGAGACCGAAATCCTTCACGCTCCCGGTCTCGGCGAACTCCAGGTAGAAGTAGCCACACTTGACCGCCCGGTGCACCTCGAAGCAGAAGCCCAAACACGAATCCTCGATGAGGTCGACGTAGATCTCCTGCGCGATGGCCTCTAGCTTGTTGGTATCCAGGTTGGCCAAGGAAATCTCCTCCATGGTCAGCGGTTAACGGGCCGTGCGCGGGAGCCCGGAGGACTCGCAGCAGCACCTGCGGCGGCGCGCCGGGGCCTGGAGGCCTCTCAAGGCCGCGTCTCCCGAGGCGGGGGAGGCAGCGGCAACAGCCGGCGGCGCCTGCTCCGGAACCCCTGGGCTTGCAGGGATCTGGGTGACTCCCCGGGATGGAAGCTCTGAGCTCGGGCGCGGCGTGCACTCACCGCCCCAAGGAGTCAGCGCCTCGGACAGCAGCAGCGGCAGCAACGGCGACGGCGGTGGCGGAGACGGCCTCTTCCGCTCCCGGGTCGGGCTGGAGTCCCGCCTCCTCGCTTCCGCCCCTCAGCGCGCCTGCGCAGTAGCCCCGCGCAGGCTCCCTGGGCTGCCTGTGCACGGTTCAGGGCCAAACCTGGCAGTTTAAGCGGCGGGGAAAGAAAGAAGCGCAAGCACGTTTTTTCCCCTATCTTAGACTTGCGTGGTCGATCCCTAAGGATACGGAGAGTGCAAGGATACTCTCTCAGGTTACTGGGTTAGTATGTTTCAGCGTTTGCACAGGGTTGCACATTCCATGTTGGAGGCATTTTCTTACGAAAAAAAAAAAAAAATCCTTCCACGTTTGGGAAATGTCCAAAACATATTTAAAGATCCTCAGATCATTTGAAAATGTAATCCAGTTGTTAAATTCACTCGCTACCATTTACACAATCGCCGTAGTTGTCATTTCAATCCACTAGATGGTGCAAGGAAACAGATTACAGTATACTTTAATCTTTTTGTTTTGTTTTTCGATGAATGAATGAAAAACTTATTACTAAAAGCATACTTCATATATAGAGAGAAAGGAACTACATGAACTTGGTCATTTATATAGTCTATTCATTTAGAAGATTTTTAGTATAACTATAAGCCACAATATACATCTCTAAAATAATTCAGGAAAAAAATGACATATAGATGAAAAGGGAGGTAATCTGAAATATGGTAAATGTTATAAAGGAAATAACAGATTTTCTTTTCAAGTGGTGTAATATGAATGGAGAGCAAGATCCACTATGCTCGGTGTTCAACATTTAAAAGTTCTGAAATTTCTTACCTGAATAAAGCTAGTCTTGTGTTATGGCTAAGATTGAACTACATTAAACATCCCACTGTGGAAGTGCTTACATGTAAACAAGCATTTAGTAAATGTCAGCCATATTTTTTGCCTTTTTAAAAATTCTGACAACTACCACTGATAAAGAGTTTTAACCTCTTTTATCGTTCTAATTTTTGAAAATTCTGTAAACAGGACTAGACGGATAGTATAGCTTCTCTGTGTCCAGCCCTGACTCTAACTCAGCACTCCATAGAGTTCCCTAAGCACCACCAGGAGTGATCCTTGAGCACAGAGGCCTGAGCACAGCCGGAGTGGGGACTAAAAGTCAAATGCTACGGCACTGTCCTCCTTTTGTTCTTCCATTTGCTTGAGCGGGTCTAGTAAGGTCTCCATTGTGAGACTTGTTACTGTGTTTGGCATATCGAATACATCACAAGTAGCTCAAAAGCCTTTGCCATTTGATCAAGATACTCTCGGTAGCTTGCTGGGCTCTCCAAGAGGGGTGGATGAAATAGAAGTTGGCTGTGCTATCGTTCCAAAGTCAAATAAAGCAATCACTGTATCACTGTCCTCTCGTTGTTCATCAATTTGCTCCAGCGGGCCCAGTAACTTCTCCATCGTGAGACTTGTTACCGTGTTTGGCATATTGAATATGTTACGGGTAGCTTTCCAGGCTTTGCCGCGTGGGTGAAATACTCTCAGTACCTTGCTGGTCTCTCAGAGAGGGCCGGAGGAATGGAACTCGTTTCGGCCATTTTGGCTGCATGCAAGGCAAATTCCCTACCTGTTGTGCTATCACTCCAGCCCAAATAAAGCAATATATATATATATATATATATATGCTTATATATACTATATATTTTGATTTCTTTGTTTATAGTTTATATTTGAAATATATATTTCAATTTCTTTGTTTATATATATACATATATATGCATATATGTATGTATATATATATTCCCAGTTAAATTTTTTTCTAATATATGAATCATTAGAATGTTTAAGGGCTGGTGAGATAGTAAAGAGGGTAGGGCTTTTGCCATGCATGAAGCTGATTTGGGTTCATTCTTTGGCAACCTATAAGTTCACTGAGCACTGCCAGGGGTAGTTTTTGAGGGCAGTATGAAGAGTAATCCTTGGGCACAACCATGAGTAGTCCAAAAATTAAAAACAAAAATTAAAAAAGAGAGAGAAAATGTTTAAATAGATTTAGGATTTTTGGGGGGATATGAAGAAGCTCTTCAGAAGTTCTGGGGATCCAGAAGGCCTCATTTTCATAATGCATGCAATCCAGCACTTTGAACTATCTCCCTGACTCCTAGGATTCAATTCTAGTATTTCATTCTATATTTTTTGAGTAGATATTTTAGTACCAGTTAAAATTACAAGGCTTATAAGCAATTAGTCAATGCTTGCCACCACCAAATTTTTATTTTTGTTTACTTTTTTATTTATTTTGCTTTTTGGGTCACACCCAGCAATGCACAGGGGTTATTCCTGGCTCTGCACTCAGGAATTACTCCTTGTGGTGCTCAGGGGACCATATGGGATGCTGGGAATCGAACTCAGGTCGGCCACGTGCAAGGCAAACACCCTACCCGCTGTGATATTGCTTCAGCCCCACCATCAAATTTTTAGATTATGTATTTTGCTATCTTATCTTAAGATAGTAAGAACTATTAAGATAACAAAATAAACTATAAGATAACAAAATATTATCTTAATAGTTCTTAAGGTAATAAAAATAGTGCCAGGTAGTATTTTATGGCACCAGAGTTAAGGCATTTTCCTTGAACTTGGTTGACTCCAGTTTGATCTAAGGCATAAAATACGGTCCTTCAACCCCTTAGCAGCACCACCAAAAATGATCCCAAGCATGGTCAGGAGTAAAATCTGAACACCACATCGTGTGCTCCAAAATTTAAAAAAACAAACCCCAAAACAACAACTGCCTTGGCATATGGCAGGTGTGGAAGATTTTTGAAAGCCTAGAATATTTAAGATGTTTTCCTAGTAAAAATGTTTTTTTCTTATCTATCACATATTTTGCCATTGCAGTCATTATATAATTTATTTGCTATAAATTATAATTATATAAAATTTATTATATGAAATTATATATGATATGAGCTGGAATGATAGCACAGTGGATAAGGCATTTGCCTTGCACGTTGCCAAACCAGTCGTCCCAAGTTCGATTCCTTTGCCCCTCTTGGAGAGCCCAGCAAGCCACTGAGAGTATCTTATCCACGCAGCAAAGCCTGGCAAGCTCCCCGTGACGTATTCAATATGCCAAACACAGTAACAATAAGTCTCACAATGGAGGCATTACTGGGCCCACTCGGGCAAATCAATGAAAAACAGGAGGACAGTGCTATGTAAGATATAATTCCTATTCATTAGCAAGCATAATTGTATATACATTGTAATCGACTTGCAGCCACTGTTCTTTCCCTTCATCAAATTTAGCTTAAAGCAGTGTTTCTTTAAGAATCTACCTATTAATCATCAGAAATGCTTTTAAAGTATAAATTGTGATTCAGTGGGTTTAGATTAGGGTCCAGATTTCTAACATGCTGGATGCTTCTGATCCACATTTTTAATTTTATTTTCAATTCCCATATTTTTTTTTATTGAATCACCAAAAGATACACAGCTACAAAGTTGTTCCGGGTTGGGTTTCAGTCATAAAGTGTTCCATCACCAGTTCCTTCACCAGTGTACATTTCCCATCACCAATGTCCCAGTTTCCCTCACCCTCTCCCCCAATTCTGCCTCTATGGCAGGCACTTTTCTTCTTTCTCTGTCTCTATCTGTCTCTGTCTCTCTGTCTCTCTGTCTCTGTTTCTCTCTCTCTGTTTCTCTCTCTCTGTTTCTCTCTCTCTCTCTCTCTCTCTTTCTCTCTCTCTTTCTCTCTTGCACTCACTCTTGATCACTCTCTTTCTTTTTGGGTATTATTTGCAATACAGGTACTGAAAGGTTGTCATGTTTGTAATTTAACCTACTTTCAGTACTCAGTTTTTATCCAGAGTTGTCATTTGCAACTATTGTTGTCACATTGGTTGCTTTTCTTTCCTGTCATCCTACCACCACCACTTATAGCAAGCTTCCAACCATGGATCAGTCTCCTGACACTTGTTTCTACTGTTCTTAGGTATTAGTCACTCACTATGTTTTTTTTTTATCCTATAATAGTCCAATCATTCTACATCTGTCGCCCCCCATTTTGATTCATCTAACTCAGCATGGTACTCCCTATGTCCATCCATTTATACGGGAATTTCATGACTTCATTCTTCCTAATAGCTTATATTACTCCATTGTGTGGTATAGTTTCTTCAACCAGTTATCTGTTTTGGGGGTTGTTTCCAGATTCTGGTTATTGTGGATAGTACTGAAGCACAGCGATAGGGTATTTGCCTTGCATGCAGCCAGCCCGTCCAAGCCAGGTTCGATTCCTTTGCCCCTCTCGGAGAGCCTGGCAAGCTACTGAGAGTATCTTGCCTGCACGGCAGAGCCTGGCAAGCTACCCGTGATGTATTCGATATGCCAAACACAGTAACAACAAGCCTCAAAATGGAGACGTTACTGGGCCCGTTCGAGCAAATCGATGAACAATGGGAGGACAGTGTTTGTTTGACAGTGACTGTAATCAACATAGAAGTGCAGATGGCTTTTCTGCACTATATTCTTGGACCCCCAGTATATATTCCCAGAAGATGTATTGCTGGGCTGTGTGGAAGCTAAATTTCTAGTTATATGAGGAATGTCCTTATTGTTTACCAGAAAGGCTGACCAGTCAGCATTCCCACCAACAATGAGAGTTTCTTCCTCCCAACACCCATACCAGCACTGTTTGTTCTTTTTTATTTCTGATGTTGATGTGTACCAGTCTCTTTGGTATGAGATAATATCGAATTGTTTTCTTTTTTTATTCCCAGCTCCCTGGTCACTAGTAATATAGAGCATTTTCCAGGTTTCTGCGTTGCTTTCCCGTTGTGAC